AGGGGAAAGTTCCAGCCCTAGGAAGCAGCAGACCTTGGCAGCTTCAGCCAAGTGTTTCTGTCTTTAGAATAAAAGATACAAGAAAGGACCTGCAGAATATCCTTCCATGCTTAGGAAAACCGATGAGGCCATATATGTCTCAGGGATGTCCCTGAATAGTGGCCCAGACAAGCCATTTTGTTAAACTGTAAAGTTGAAACCTCAATTTTGTTTAGAGACATAAGATTCCTGCCAATGAAAGCTGCAGACTTAGTGTGGAAACAGTCTAAGAGAGAAACATGAGTTTCAGTCAACAAAGCTGATAAGACTAGGAAATCTGAAGACTACTTTGATATCAAACTTTGAGATTGAAGTTTGTCCTGTTGGTTTTGATCTTGCTTTGGTCTCGTATTTCCTCACTATGCTCTCTTTCCTCCCTTTTGGAATGGTGATGCATATTCTGGATAATTATACATTGGAAGTATTTATTTTGATTTTATATGGAATTGCATTTAAGAAACTTCTATGAGTGTCAGAAAATTCTTTACCATCTCTCTTTTCAACCTTGCTTCCAACTCTGAACTCATATACTACAGTGTACTTGGAGTGCAGCATTCTGTACTTGAGACTGAACCTTCTGGAATGGTTCTCACTATGCTCCTTTTCCCAACTTTTGAAATAGTAGTGTATATTGAGAGATATTATATGTTGGAAGTATGTGGTATGCTTTTTTATTTGGTTTAATTAATGAAGATAGTTAAGCGATTGCCTGGAATCTCAGAAGATACTTTGTACTTGGTACTTTTAAACATTGTTGAAGCTGTGATAGACTATACAGATTTTAAAAATTTGACTGGATGCATTTTGCATTATGATATAGCTTTGGGCCAGTGGAGGCCAGGGAGTGGAATGTGATAGAACCCATTCCCTGTGGAGGAATATCTTGCTCAGCCTAGATACAGGGAAGAGAGCCTTCGCCCTGCCTTAAGTGATATGACAGATATTCTTTGTTCCCCATGGAAAGCCTCACCCTCTCTGAGGAATGGATGGGGATTACGGTGGGGGAAAAGTGAGGAGTGGGAGGAAAAGAGGGAGATAGAACTTGGATTGTTATGTAAAATAAAAAAGACTGTTTAAAAAAGAAAATAGAAAAGAAAATGTCCACTATAGATTTGAGCACTTGGTCACCAGGGTTTGGCATGAAACTGAGTATATTAGCAGGTATGGCCTTGTTAGAAGAACTCTGTCACTGGGATTTGGGCTTTCAAAGGCTCAAGCAAGTCCCCTTGCCTCTGTCCTCTTGCTGCCTATTGATCCACATGTAGAATTTTTAGCTATTATATCTTTCTGCATGCTGGCATATCCACAGCCATTGTGAAAATGTACTAAATTTCTGAAATTGACAGTGTCTCACATAAATGATTTCTGTTATAAGTGTTGTAAAAACATGATGTCTTTTCACAATAATTGAAGAATAACTAAGACATAATTTATATGCTCAGAGAAAATATATAATATCTAATAAAGTAATATCATTCTATACATATACAACACTTAAAAACCAATAACATGAAAATGAACAACATAGTAAAAACCTTGGGCAAAGACTTGGTCTAACAAGCTCTTCACCTAGAAGAGTTACAGATAATTTATAGGTTTATAAATGATTTTTTTCAGGATTTGTTTTTTGGAAAATGCAAATGACTGCAATCATGATATATTACAATTATTAAATTGATCACTATCTGCATTCCTTGTAATATACAATACTTGCAAAAAAGTGGAGGAAGTCATGTGAATTCAAATAAGTTAACATCATTATTGAAGATAGTTTATGCTTTCCAAATTAAACATTTATTATAGACCCAAGAAATCTTTTTTTAATTAATTAATTTATTTATTAAAGATTTCTGCCTCCTCCCCGCCATCTCCTCCCATTTCTCTCCACCTCCCCCAATCAATTCCCCCTCCCTCATCAGCCCAAAGAGCAGTGAGGGTTCCCTGCCCTGTGGGAAATCCAAGGACCTCCCACATCCTTCTAGGTCTAGTAAGGTGAGCATCCAAACTGCCTAGGCTCCCACAAAGCCAGTATGTGCAGTAGGATCAAAACCCAGTGCCATTGTTCTTGACTTCTCAGCAGTCCTCATTGTCCTCTATGTTCAGCGAGTCCGGTTTTATCCCATGCTTATTCAGACCCAGTCCATCTGGCCTTGGTGAGTTCCCGATAGATCACCCCCATTGTCTCAGTATGTGGGTGCACCCCTCGCGGTACACTCATCCATTGCTGGTGTGCAAACACTTTGGAAAGCAGTGTGGCAGTTTCTCAGGAAATTCGGGATCAACCTACTCCTGGACCCAGCAATACCACTCTTGGGAATATACCCAAGAGATGCCCTATCGTACAACAAAAGTATATGCTCAACTGTGTTCATAGCAGCATTGTTTGTAATAGCCAGAACCTGGAATCAACCTAGATGCCCTTCAATGGAAGAATGGATGAAGAAAGTATGGAATATATACATATTAGAGTACGACCCAAGAAATCTTAATCCTTGGTAATTTCAAACAAATGTTGAAAGCTTAAGTTAACACAAACATCTGAATAGAGACTGAATGGAAGATTTCCATTTTTCATATTTGCTAATCTAAACAGAGGCAACCAACATGTCTATTAAGAGCTTCAATATGGAAAGCCCTTCACGAGCTAGCTCATCTGTTTGAACTCTGGTTACCCAGTTGGTGGAGCACTTGTGTAAAAATGTTGACTCTTCACTTTTGTCCACAGTATCTAAAGCAGGATGAAAGCCTGACATCTTTGTCTTCATTGTGTGCCTGGTCTGTATTTGACTGAAGGAACAGAGGTAAGTTGTTGTCCTTAACATTTCCTTTTAAAGGGATATTAAATCCCAGGAAGAAGAAAACCTAAATGGTTAAACAATTCATCTCTTAATGAGATTTTTTTCAGAAGACTGGACTTTATTATCTGTGATGGAAGAACAGATGAATAATTTAACAATTTATTGGACCATCTTGCAGTAGTGACTACTTTCTAGTAGTTGAGATATTCGTGGATACATGGAGTGTTGAACTATAACTAAAGTAGGATTGCTTAACTGTGCATACTTTTGATTTTCTATTTGAATCTAAAATATTCATACTAATACCCTGAAGATGGATTTAAGTACCACTGGTTCTATTTTTTCTTCCAATTATGGTCATATAGAGCAAATCTCCTCTCTATTTTTACCACCATACATTTATTTAACTTTTTTACAAGCCATGATGTTTGTTACTTTGGATCCCTGGATTCATATTAAAACCTTTGGTCAGGTTCTTATTGCAAAGAATTATTCATCCAGAATGACCTCTCATATTATGTGATTTAAGGTAATAAAATGTCTTATAAAGAATCACACTTCAGTATAATGCTTAGATGAGACCTATGTCTGTTTCTCCCCATTTTTAACTCTAGACAGGCCAGATACAGCTTATCAAAATTCCAGTTCATTGTCTCATAAATCTTGTTGGAATCATTTACTCATTTTCATCTATTAATAGCCAAATATTAACTCTGACAAATTTAGCTAATTTGCCTTCTTTCACATCCCCTGGACTCTGTCTGACCCTCCTCCAGTGACAGTCCATGATTAACTTTTCTTTTCCTTCTCCTAGGTCAATTTCCTGACTACAGGGAGAACAGTCTCTAAGTACCCACCTGCCACATAGTGGCCTCTTCCTCATCATGTCTGTCCTCCCACATGAGCAAGGTCCTAGTCTGGTCAGTGATATGGTTCAGTGAGCCCTTGCACATGACCTCACAATGTGAACTGGATTCCTGGGACCCACACAATGTCAAAAAAGAGAAAATAATGCACACAGATGTTTCCTGACCTCCACATGTATGATATGGAAAATATGATTACCCAGCATGCAAAAAGTCACAATAACAATAACATGTATACCTAAAAATTAAAAGATCATTTTCTGCCTGTTTTATGATATGTTTTTCCCCTTGTTGTGTCTGTCCCTTTCCAATGTTTAAAATAATCCTTTCAAAGACGGGCTCCCACTTTAAGCCTGGACTTTTTTTGATGTTGTTGTTCCTATTAGTCACCAAATTAAATTTTGGTTTAGAATTTTATTCTCCCATACTTTTAGCTTGTTTATGGGGTAATAGTTTTAAGAGTATGATGAAATGTGGACCTATGATATCTTTTTTTCTCAAGACAGCACTTCTCTGTGTAACAGTCCAAGTTATCCTGGAACTTGCTCTTGTAGACCAGGCTGGCCTTGAACTCATTGAGACCTACCTCCCTACATCTCCCAAGTACTGGTATTAAAGGCATGAGTCACCACCACCGGTTTATGATGTCTTTTTTAATGTTTGCAGGCTTTGTGAATATGAGGAAGACATTGGGATAGTTCTCTCTCCTTTCCCCTCCTCCAAATAGCAAGGTTTTACATTAGGTTTGCTTTATACTGCTTTGCCTTCTATCTAGAGTTATTTCCCCTACCTTTTATTGACTCATCTCTTTTGCATGTATGCTAATGTGTAAAGAGAGGCACATGTGCCTTCCCCCTTCACTTCAGCTTATTTATGGTCACTTGTGAAAAAGAAATGTGTTTGTCTAAATTAAAATACAGCTTCTGGTTCCAAGAGGTAAAAGTCTGAGGTCCAATTAATCCTTGTAATAAAACAAGAACCTCTATGATTGAAGACAAAGACTGCTCAGTCAGAAGTTTCTCTATTTCCCCTGGAGTGACATAAAAGTCTTTCCCATTACTAACTCTTGAAGATGGAAATTGGAGATAGTAAAGTCAGGGTTGACTTTGTCCCTCTTTTCAGGGGAACAGAAATATGAACTTTAGATTCAGTGCTAAACAATGCCTTTGGCTTCAGCATGCCATAATTGTAATGACTCCTTATCTTTCCCATCAGTTTCCATTTTGCATTGTCTATTCCATTCATTCTATTTTGTATTTATCTGTCCACCCTGCTTCCCATCTACTCTTCCACTTACTTGTCTCTTTAGGCCAGGTGTCTGCTCCAGACAGAAATGCAGGGAGAGTGTGATCCTTCCTGGAGGAGGCAAGGCTGAAGAGTGTCAGTTACAGCACAGTGAGGGTTATTTATCTGGGGGCAAAGGCTGAATTTACTCTCAGCACAATAAAATTTCATGTTCTCCTTCTTACTGGGAGGAGTTTTGTATTATTCCTGTTTATATTGTGTTGTGTCACCTTGGAGTAGAGTCCAATTTATAAGTAACTAATCCTACATAAAGAAATTATGAATCCAATTTTATTGACTCTTGAGTGAAGAATGACAAGGGCAGGAAACTCATATATCTTAGTAGCTTTTAGGAGGAAGGAGCTAAATGAACGAAGAAAACCCCGCTTCATGAATCAGAGATGAAAAAATCAGGCTGATGCTGGTGAGATGGGTCAATGGATAATGTGCTGACTAGGCAACTGTGACGACCATTGTTCATACACCCAGAATCCACATAAATGTTAGGCAGGCATAATGGATGTCTAATACCAGCACTAAGGCAACAGAGAGAACTAGAACAAGCTAGCTAGAATTGGTTAGCTCTAGGTTCAGGACTTAACAAATTGTGTGGAGAGTATTTGAAGACAACCAATTTCAACAGTAGGACTTCACACAGATATGGGCACATTGGTATGTACCCTCTAAAATGATCATGTGCGCACACACACACCAGTACACACCAGTACACACCAGTACACACACACACACACACACACACACACACACACTGCAGGCAGGCTTATCCTGGAACTAGAGTTTTCAGGCACATGTAAGCTGCCTGATTTGGTGCTGAAAACAGAACTCTGGTCTTGTGAAAGAGCAATGCTTTATTTCCGGTTTTCTAAACAAAGGCGGCAAGCAAGGTTAGCCATTCCAAGTAGTACTTAAATGCTGATCCCATCTCTCAAACTTCTGCATGAGTTTTAAAGAAGGAAAAATCATATGTCTTTGTAATCTTACAATCTTTTGGATAATTTATATCATGTCTATACCAAATTTCAGAGATACAAATCAAATGTTTCCTTCTTTATTTTTGAGATACTAATTTGACATGATTCTCTTTATTATTAAAAAAAAACTTGAAAAAAATTATACAAGGTTAACCAAACTGAGCTGCAGCTGGAAGTGCACAAATTTAATCCTAGCATTTGGGAGGCAGAGACAGGCACATCTCGGAGTTTAAGGCCAGCCTGGTCTACAGAGTGAGTTCCGGAATAGTCAGAGTCTCTCTCTCTCTCTCTCTCTCTCTCTCTCTCTCTCTCTCTCACACACACACACACACACACACACACACACACACACACACACACACACTCAAAACCTGTTCCAGAAAACTATAAGTGAATAGATAAATAAATAAATAAATATGACAGAAAATAAATAAAAAATTGCCAAATCAAAGCCTATACCTCTCCTTGAACAGTCAGAATTTGCATTATGAAGCTATGGTTTTCACTCTGGATTTTTAACTTCCTCTGATGAATTATTTTGATGCATTTATCTACCACCAAACAACAACATCTACAATGGGGTTGGAATTAGAAAAATAGTTAACTTTGTATTTTCTTTCCTTGCTTGTTTCCATTACTTGCCTCCAGTCCTCCTTATCTCCTAGTATTTAGCCTGTTTGCTTCTTTTCCTACTTCTCAGACTACATTTGCATGCTGTAGGTGCTGCATAGAAGGAAAACAATGAGTGTTTTCCCTGAGATTGTGTGACTTCACTTAATATTATACATTTTAATTTTATCAGTTTTCATGTAATGCTCCTATTAGATTTTTCTTGGAAGCTCTATTGTTTTCATATATATCTACTTGTATGTATACAATTTTCATTATTCTTTCATCTTTTGATGGCCATATTAGTTCATTCCAATTTTTTGCTTTAGTGAATAAAAAAGTGATAAACATGAGGGTATAGGAAAGAAAGGGAATAGGATAATGATGCAGTCATAGTGTATTATAATGTCAAAAATAAAAATATGATTAAAAATTCATGAGGGTGAAAATTTCTATAATAGGGTATGGTGTTCTTTGGGTATATGGCCAGGAGAGAAATAGTTAGGTTACTTAGTACTTCTATATTTAAGATTTTGAGAAATATCCAACCTGATTTCCACATGACTGTGCTAAATTTCCCCCCACCTATGGTAAGTAAAGAGTGTTCTCACCACATCCTATCATTTATTCTTAGATTTGTTGATGATAGCCATTCCCACCAGGTTAGGTAGCATCTCAAAGTAGTTTTATTTGAATTTCTCTGATGACTAGGAATATAGAACATCTTCTAAATACTCATTGATCATTTGTGATTCTCTCTCTCTCTCTCTCTCTCTCTCTCTCTCTCTCTTAAAAATGAAAACAACAAAAAAAAAATAAAAAAAACCTCTCTGTTCAGTTCATGTGCCAGTTTTCTGATTGGCAGTTTTCTTTCCCTGGTACTTAATTTCTGCAGTTCTTCATAAATTCTGACTTAAGTCCCATGTCTGAAGTGTAACTAGTAAAGGTTTTCTCCCATTCTGCATGCTGTCTGCTCGCCTGGTGTTTTCATTGTTTTACAGAAGCTTGTAATGTTCATGGGTCCATCTGTTGATCCCGAGGGAAAGTTCTGTGCTGTTGGTATTCTATTAGAAAGGCTTTTATCTTCCTTGGGGTTTTGAGGGTATCCTCCATTTTTTTCTAGTACTTTCAGTTCATCCAACTTCAAACAAAGGTCTTTGTTTGATTGGAATCGATGTGTGCACATGGTGAAAGAAATGAATCCTCTTCCTTGTTTCTGCAGATAGAATTCAGTTTTGTAGCACTGGTTGTTGAACAGATGGACTCTTTTCAATCTATGTTTTGCTTCTCTTGTGAAAATTTAAGTGGGCAAAACTTTGTCATTTTATTTCAAGGTCCTTTTTTCTAATACACTGATATATTAGTCTATTTTTAAACTAGAACCATGTTGCAGATATTACTGAGTCTTTTATTATGCTTTCTGCTATTTTGCTTCATTAGTAATAGAATTTTTTTTCAAATGGCATATCTACTCCCTCTACTCCTGCCAGTTCCTTTCCACTCCCAACCCCTCCTAGATCCACTCCCCTCTGGCTCTCATTTAAAACCAAACAGGAATTTAAAGGATATTAATAAAAATACATAAAATAAAACAAAAACTAGCTCATCAGAATTGGAAAAAGTAAACAAGTGAAATGAAAACAACCCAAGATGAGGCACAAAAGCCAATGATCCACGCATTTGTATACTAAGGAATCTCATGAAAACACTAAACTGAAAATCATGCTTTACTTTTGTGTTGAGATCTTTGATCCACTACAGTTTGAGTTTTGTTCAGTGTGATATGTATAGAACTATTTGGATTCTACTGCAGTTAACCATCCAGTTTGAGAAGTACCAGTTATTGAAAATGTTCACTTTTTTCCAGTATATATTTGGCTTCTTTATGAAAATTCAGTTGTCTGTAGGTATGTGAATGATGTCTGGCTTTTCAGTTTGATTCCATTGATTGGTTCATCTATATTTGTGTCAATACCATGTTATTTTTTCTAATATAGCTCTATAGAACAACGTGAAATCACGGATAGTGATATATATAACGATTCTTTCATTATTCAGAATTGTTTTAGCTATCCTTTGTGTTTGTAACCATATAAAGCTAAGAATTGTTCTTTCAAAAGAACCCTTCTAAAAAGCCTGAAATCAAAGAAGACTGAGTCAATATTCTACAGAGATTTCCTAGCTTATCTCCAAGTAGGGCACTTAAAAAGAAATGGTAACAAAGGCAATCAGTCAATCCAAAGTCCAGTTTGGTCAGGTGGCCAGCCTTATCTTTGAGATCAGCAAAGCTATTACCTCTCTCACTATCATCTTCTGGATTTTGCCCACATCATCATCTCTTATTTGTAGACCCCTGAGGCTGTTGAGCCTTGCTTTCTTCCTGTCAGTATCACCTGCTTTAAAGTACAACTCACAACAAAGAAATACATTTCGTAGCATGTCCTTAAGGAGTTGTTCATAACGGCCACCTACACATTCTTTTTATAACATGAAACACAAAAGTGTCATTATAGTAAATAAGATAAAAGTGTCTCTTCATCCATTCTTTCTTCATCTGAATAATCTGTAATTTTACCATGAAATAGATCATTTGCCAGAAAAATATAATACAGCTACTTTTAATATACATACACATTTATGTTTTATATATTAACGACAGCTTTATTAAAGTTCAGCATTAACAAATACCCATAAACATATGCAAAAACCCTACTATTGGAAAGAAAACCACATCAATAACCAAACGTAAATATTTTTAATGTTTTTCTGTGGAGGCATTTTAAATTGGTGGACAGATGAAATAATTTGTTATCTTAAATCATATCTCCTGCTGTCTTGTTGTCTCATTCCTCTATACCATTTTACCCTTCTTCTTCCACCCTTTTCACCTCCCTTCAAAGCTCACCCACCTCGGACCTTACTAGTTCTGTGCCTTCTATGGATACTTCAATGTAAACACACCCATTTGAAGGTTCAAAGCTAGCATCCACATAGGAGAAGGAAATAAGGCATTTGTTATATAACAGAGCTATAGAGACACCACCATAAAAGAAAACACATTGATCAATGTAACAGAATAATAAATGTAGAGAATGCAAATATAATCCCACTCTTTACAGCAACCTGATTCTTGAAAAAGAGGCCAAAAATAAACACTGGAGACATGATAACATCTTCAATAAATGGTACTGACCATTAGCTTAATTCTATGTAGAAGAATAAAGTTAAAACTTCATCTCACCACTTCACAAAAGCCAATCACACATAAATCAAGGACCTCAATATCAATTCTAGGTCCTAGTTTGCTTCTCTTGATAAAACACTGAATGAAACAAATTGGAGAGGAACTAAATAATCTGTCTTCTGATCTGTTAGCAATCCACCACTGAGCAAATTAAGCATGAGCCTAGAGGTAGGAATGAAAGCAGAGCCACGGAGCACTGCTGCATGTTGGCTTGTTCTTCATCACTTGCTAAACTTGTGTTCTTATACAACCTAAGGTAACCAGTCCAGGAGTGGCAATGATATCTATG